TATGTACAATTTCAGTGCTAGCACAGAATTTCTGACTTACAATTAAATGCAAAACACACAGCCATTCTCTACCTCACACTGTCCACTCCAAACAGCTGCAGTTGGTTGCTTAGAATTACATGAAGGTAAGTTAACGCAGTGTGTTAGAAAATAATTGAAGGAAAAAAAATAATTGAAGGACTTTGTGGAAAAAGAATTAGGTCTGTTAAATTCTCTCTCTCTTTTTAAAGTAAAAAAAAGTGTTAGACTTCTCTCTCTCTCTCTCTCTTTTTTGTTTTTTGTCTTTTTGAGACAGGGTCTTGCTATGTAGTTCAGGATGGCCTTGAGCTCATTCTGTAGCTCAGGCTGGCTTAGAACTGGCAACAATCCTCCTGCCTCAGCCCTCCCAAGTGCTAGGATTACAGGCATGTGCCACTATGCCCAGCAAGACTTCTCTTTAGGATTCTCGTGCCATCTAGGAGACTACTTGTGAATTGTCACTAAAGCTGTTCATTTTCTTACAGCCAGATGAATCTTCTTCACTTAAGCCCTAGAGCGCTTCTTGCTGACCCACTCAGGAAGTAAAAGTCCTAAGTCATTATATGGTAGTGAAGTTAAAAAAAAAAATTAAGCAGCAGGAAACAGAGCACAACTGTCACCAACACACTCAGACAGAAAGATGCCCTACGGCATTCTCTGCCCCCGCCACGGTCGGGTCATGTTGGATTCTGTGTCTCCACGGTACACTCACCTCTGGAGGAAGTTACGGCTGCGAGTGCTTGTTCTCTGCGGGGGCAAGCAGGATACTTCGGTCTGTGGTCTCTAATTATTCTGATGTTCAGATGAAACCAACCATTTTGGTTTTGTTTCACATCTAGGGTGTGTTTCCAATTAAACTGAAATCACATTAAACACGTCTAGTTCTTCTTTAGGACCTCTATCATGAAGATTAGTTGTAGGACTTTGCCTTCCTCTTCCCAGGCCCCTTCAGTCTAGAAAACCTGTAGCTACCCACGCTGAAGGTCTCCATCCAAGGCAGAGGTGAGCGGCATGAAATTTTTCGTGTCTTCCTTGCATGGCCCCCAGGAGATGGCCCAGAACGGAAGGCACACTGGGCAAGATCGCAGTGCGGGTTTGAATTAGTGTCCAGCCTGTGGCTGACCAGATTCTTCCCTTTCCCAGCAGCCAAGGACAGCAGCGCTCTGTCTCACTTAAGTGATCGTTTATAGGAGATCGTAAGAGAACACACAAGTCTCCCTCTTTGTGAGGCTGTCTTAGAAGATCACGCCTTCCCCAGTCTACATCAGAATTTCAAGGATCTTTTAGGAGTCTCTTAGTTAGATTTAGCGAAGGAGTGTTACATCGGCAAAACTTACAAATCCACCACTGTCCCAGCAATGAGAGCCTGAGCACAGGGACCTGGTCCACCTCTGGCTTCACACCCGCAGTTAGGAAGTTTAGTAAGCATTTGCCAAATCAGCAATCTTATTTATCTTTCCTACTAGATTTTTGTTCTTAGAACAAGCGCTATTGTGGACTTAAACTCTAGATTCAACATAGGTTTGAAAAAATTCGTGCACCAAGAAAGGGCTTAAAACATATATTCATGTATATTTATCAGATTAAAGAAAAAGTAGTATGCTCAGCAAAGACAAGGGTATTCAAATGTAAAGAGTCTTCAGATTGACACTGAACAAGGAATATTTAAAAACCAAAACAAAACAGAACAACACACTCAAAAACCCCAGGGCTTGTGCTTGTGCAAAATGAGAAGTCCCCAGAGTGAGTCTAGGAGGATGGAAACCCCACTAGGTCAGGGACTTCAGGGCAGGTTTCAGTGAGAGGGGACCCATTCCTACCGTGATGAGCTGAAAGCTGGACTCACCACAAAGCCAACCTCTCCTGCCTGTGCAGGGCTGCCGAGTAGTCACCACCCCCACGTGTCAGTTGGGTAATGAGTCAACCCAAAACTGTCATTAAAGTTACTAGGCTTTCCTCCCCTGCTCTTTTCGCATGCAAGACAAAATCCTCAAGGCTTTAAAAGGAATCAATATACCGCCCTAAACTGGGTGTGGCGACTCTTGCCTGTAATCTCAGCACTCCTGAGGCTGAGGCAGGAGGATTGCCACAAGGTCAAGGCCAGCCTGGGTCACAAAGTGAGTTCAAGACCAGCCTGAACAGCCCAGTGAGACACTGTCTCAAAAAAGACCAAAAGAAAGAGTACACTTTAAAGTGGTTACTACTTAATTTTGTGGTATGTGAATTTTTTTGGTTTGGTTTGATTTTTTGTTTTGTTTGGTTTGGATACTGGGGATTGAACTCACGACAGGGCAGGCACTGTGCCGCTGAGCTAAATCCCCAGCCCCTGTGTTATGTGAACTTTACATCAAGCCAAAAAAAAAAAAAAAAGAAAAAAAAAGCAGAGAACCAACTTGCTGTGTCTGAACATATTTCCAAAATCGTGGCCCACCTTCCTGGACCAGGCATGGCAGCACGCTGTCAGAACTGAGCCCCCAAACTCAAATTGTCGGGGCCACAAAAAATGAAGTCAGACGGAAAGCAAGAAAACTAGACCAGACCAAGTTTAAAATTTAGTTCTGCAGACGGGGGTGAGTGCACTCAGATGCCAGGCACCCGGAGCGCCCCCTCACAGGGGAAGCACTAAGGGCTTACAGTCTATCGATTAATTGGTGAGTTTAAGAGGTGTGAGGGGAGGATCCAAAGGACCGCTGAGGAGGAGGAGGAGCAGCAGGAGGAGAGAGGGTGTAGGGAATTGAAAGTCCTTGGTTATTGATAAACTATCTTTGCTCTGTAGCTATGTTCCCAAAATGTAGACATTTCCTGTAATTTCAGTGTGAGGGATGAGGCTGCCTAGGGTGGACTACAGTCTAAACCAAAGGCACTCCTGGTTACACCTTTTGATAGACAGGGTTACAGTTTCTCACAGCATGCCTGTAACCCCAGCCCTTGGGAGGCTGAAGCAGGAGGATTGCTGTGAGGTCAAGGCCAGCCTGGGCTACATAGTGAGCTCAAGGCCAGCCTGAACTGCATAGTGAGACCCTGTCTCAAAAACAAACAAAGAAACAAAGTCCTGAAACTTGTCCATCCTGCTTTGTGTTGTAAAAGGCCGGACAGAGGTTAGAAAGAATTTAGCACTGTGAAGAAGCCCTGAAGTGGGGTGTGGCAGTGCATGGTTATAATCCCAGCACTCAGGAAGCTGAGGCAGGGCTATTACTGAGTCGGGGGAAACTGCAGGGAATCCCTGACAGACAAGACACGGAGTTTAGGAACAAAGAGCAGTTTATGGGACTAACGTCTCCTGCAGAGCACATCACATAGCGGCTTCTACCTTTACATTGTTTCTTTTCTGCGGGTTAATTTTCCATTGGAAATCAGCATGAAGCAATTACAGAAGCACAGCCGGGATTAAAAAGAGCTGACATTACATCATAGCTGTACCTGCACACAGATGGGTATGTACTGTCAGTGTCCGCAGGATCTTAGCGGGCAGGTAACCCATAGTTGCCCAGTTCCAGGCCAGGAGGGACTTTCCTCTTCATTATCAGGCGTTTGAGGCCAGCCTGAACTACACGATGAGACCTGTCTCAAACAAAATAAAACAAAAATTAAAAAAGAAAAAAGCTGGAGATGTAGCTCCATGAAAGGTCTTGATTCAATCCCCAGTACCATGAGAGAGAGAGAGAGGGAGAGAGGAAGAGAAGGACAGAGAGAGAGAGGGACAGAGAGAGACAGAGAGAAAGAGACCCTGAACGTGAAGTTCGGTCTCAGCAGTGTCTTTGGGGATTCTTACTGTTTCTGTCTTCATTTCTTATGCTGAGTTAAACTTCTAACCTTCACAAGTTGATACAGTGTGTCAACCATTGCTGTGATTTCCTTGGAGTTTAGACTTGGTGAATAATGAAATGAAAAAGGAGCCCTAATGAAAGATAGCAATGGCCGGGCGTGGTGGCGCACGCCTGCAATCCCAGCACTCAGGAGGCTGAGGCGGGAGGCTGAGGCAGGAGGATCGTGGCAGGAGGATCGTTGCAAGTTCAAAAGCAGCCTGGGCTACAAAGTGAGCTCAAGGCCAGCCTGTACTTTATAGTGGGAACCTGTCTCAAAAAACAAACAAACAAACAAAAAAATCCCAGAAACATAGCAATGAAAATGTAAATGCCTCTTGCTTAAAAATGAAATGATTTACATCTGTAAGAGACCTCAGTGACCAGAGAGTCCAACCCAGCTGTTTAAAAAAAAGAAATGGGGAATGAGGGTGGAGGTATAAGGATATTTTTTATTTTTTTTGTCTTTTTGAGACAGGGTCTCGATATGCAGTTCAGGCTGGCCTTGAGCTCACTTTGTAGCCCAGGCTGGCCTTGAACTCGTAACAATCCTCCTGCCTTAGCCTCCCGAGTGCTGGGATTACAGGCATGTGCCACCATGCCTGGCATAAGGATAAAAAATCAAGATATGTACAAATTCCCCAGTAGGAATGTAAGTATTCTGTTTTGTAAACACACACGAACAATTAAAATTATATAAACAAAAAGAAATGGGTGCAGCTCTTAGCAGAGTGCTTGTATGAGAAAGGCTGTGAGTTCCATCTTCAGCAGCACAAGAAATGAGGGTAAGGCCGGGCATGGTGGCGTATGCCTGTAATCCCAGCACTTGGGAGGCTGAGGCAGAAGGATCGTTGCGAGTTTGAGACCAGCCTGGGCTACAAAGTGAGCTCAAGGCCAGCCTAAGCTGCATATCGAGACCCTATCTCAAAAAAAGAAATGAAGGTAAAAACAGTAAGAAGTTTAGCTAAGTAGTTTAACAGGGGAAGGGGTCCCTTCTCTGTAAACATCCTCATCCTGTACAAGAGGAGGGCATGCAGATTGTGCCACACCCACCCTGGGGTGGGTCGGGGGCAGCCTGCTTACAATATAGGGGAGGAAAAGAGTCTTGTCCCCCCCTCCCCAGCCCCTTTCTCTCTTGCTGCTTTTGCTGCTCCCTGCCTTGGAGCCAGCCAATTACAGGCTGAAACCTCCACAAACTATGAGTTCAATAAACCTTTCCTTCCTTAATTTTGGGTGTCAGGTATTTTGTCCCAGTGAGAGAAAAGTAACTAAGACAGTCCCTTTCACTTCCACTGGGCCTTTCCTCACCACGGCACAGTGCTCATTGTTGCTGAAAGGCAGCAACAATTTACTAATTCCAAGACCCAAAAGGAAATCCAACCCAGCCCTGGCCCCCAAAGACACTATCAGGCCTGACCTGAGAGACAACTTAAGGCAGCCACCACAAACAATAGGCGTTTAGGCTGCCCTCAGCAAACAAGACTTAAGGGCCATAAAAATTTAGGGTGGGACCACAGTCTTCCTGCTGCCAGCTCTGTGTACACACCTGCGCTGATTGTCCTCCCTGCTTCTACTTCAAACATTTCATCCGGACTCTCTGAGACTGTGACCCCCAGCCCTAAACCCTGTATATACTTAGCCGCCCCTCCAGATAGCCGCTGCTGTCGCTCTGTCAGCCTGCCCGTACATATGTGGAATAAAATCCAGTCTTCCCCACGATCTTGACCTGTGGGTGTTTTCCCACACACCATTATTTAACAGGCATGTATGGTCTGCTGAGTCCTAGGTCACTATTCCTGTAAAGTGGTACAGATTGGGAACAGCAAGGAAGGATTAGCCCAGGGGCTGAGAAAAGAGGCGAATGCTGAGGATGGAGAAGCTGCAGGAGGACTGGCAGGCTGAAAACCCAGAAGCCTGGAGCAGGGCAGACAAGCCAGTGGGCTGGAGTCATGTAGTACACATTATTATTCCAACCCTGCAGACAGGAAGTTGGGCTTGACATCGGAGACGCGAAGCTCCCACAAGATTAATGACAATGAGAAAAATAATTACCTTGCAGTAGAGAAAGATGGAAGACACATTCTTACACAGGGATCACCGTAAAGTCACCAGATAGGAACAAATTAACATTATGTGCTTCCCGATGGAGCGCACTGAGAATTCTATGGAATTTCTGCTATCTGGATTTAATCATAAGGAAACACCAAGGGAGCTTAGACTGAGGACACTATCAGATAAATGACCGATACTGTTTGTAGTGGAGCTTGAACCTAGCTAGGGCTTTGTGCACATTAGGTAGCTATTCTGTACCTGAACTGCAGCTCTAGGCCCTTTTAAATTTTATTTTGAGACAGGATCTAAGTTGCTTTTGAATTTGTGATCTTCCTGCATTAGTCTCCTGCATAGCAGGGATTATTACAGACACATTACCAGGCTTCAAAAGTATCAATGTCACGAAAGATAAAACAACAACAGCAAAGGGAATTATTTCTGATTAAGAGCAACTGAGGAGACACAACCCCTGAATACAATACATGATCTAGGATTTTCTTTTGCTAAAACGGACATTATTCTGATAACTAGGAAGATCTGAGTAAAGGCTCTAAATCTGATAATAATACTGTAGTAATGGTGACTGCCTGATTTTTTGGTTATACTGCTTTATGACTCCCTAAAAGCAGGAGAAGATTAGAATTTCTGTGACTTACATTAAGGAAAAGAAATTCTAGTTTTTATGATCTGCCTTGGAGAGGAAGTTTTGAGCCAGGAATCATATGAAAATCAAAAACTAAATATTACATGATGACATATAGCATTTGGAAAAATTCAATACTTATAGCTAGAATATATTTCATTTGCCTGAGGGACATCCAGTCTATATGTTTACTAGGAGTTATAGTGTAATATTACAATTCTTATATGTTGAACTAAGCTTAAATTCCTTCACTAAATCCCTCTTGGTCATGGTATGTAATGCTTTTTATACGTTCTGGATTTGGTTCGCTGATATTTGGTCCAGGAGTTTTGCCTCTAATCATAAAGGATGGCGCTCTGTAGCATTCTTTTCTTGCAGTGTCTCTGGCTGGCTTTGGTACTAGGGTGATACTGGCCTCGGGGTCTACACTGTGAAAGAGAGTCGGTGTTTAGGTGTTGAAGGCCTGAAGAAGAGCTGCGGGAGCCCTCTGCACGCGGCGGGCAGGTATGGGTGCCGCAGGACCTGAGAGCGTGTAGATGCACAGGTTTGCGAGAAGTAAAGGCACAGGGATTCCACGGAGGTATCAGTAGACAATGGAAACTAAAGTGTGCAGGTCAGGGACACAGGACAGCCAGGAAAGCAAGCATTCTGGAATGTGATGGTCTGCACGACAGATTCTACAGGATAAGCCTCGATGATAAGGACATCCAATTGTAATCCCCCCTTACTGCGTATTTAACCGCAGGCCTTCACGCTGAGCTACATTCCCAGCCTTTTTTTATGTATTATTTTGAGAGAGGGTCTCACTAGTCACTCAACTGTCCAGACTAGGCTCACTCTTGCCATCCTCCTGCCTCAGACTGCCAGAGCGCTGGGGTTCCAGGCATTTCCTACCATTCCCTGCTCTGATTTGGGAATTTAGAAGCCACTGGTAGCTTGGTAAGAACGGTTTTAACAGGGTGTGGGGGTCAGAGGTCAGAATGTAAAGACTGAGATAATGGCAAAATGGTGAACTGTGAGTGAATAGGCCTGAATTACTGAGAGGTTGCAGAGAGGCAGGTTTTACAAGCACTGTACGCAGCAGGAGCTTTGTTTTGCTTATGTCCTCCTATATTTCTTAGTTGAAAATGAGGCAGACCCTCGGGCTAGAAGTATGCATCTTTTTTTTTTTTTTGAAGTATGCATCTGGCTGCCAGAGCGAGTGCATATTTGAGATGTATATCCGGATTCCCTTGTGCTGGAGAATGACTCCCTAAACCATAAGATGAAAGCCTTAACACAGCATTTGCCCACAACCATTCTTTGCACTGAATGTATCAACATGGCACTTGAGGTAAAGGCTGGGCTCATCTGTGATGAGGGTGCAAATTAGGGACTGTGACCCAGAAACTAGTCTACATAAGAGAGAAAGAGAATGAAGGATGCTATAGTTTTTTAAATTTTTTTTTTTGGTCTTTTTGAGACAGGGTCTCGCTATGAAATTCAGGCCAGCCTTGTGCTCACTTTGTAGCCCAGGCTGGTCTCAAACTCTCAACGATTCTCCTGCCTCAGCCTCCCAAGAGCTGGGATTACGGTGTGCGCCACCATACCCGGCAAGGATGCTATAATCTAAGAAGCCCTCCTTGGAAATGTGTAAGGATGGTCTACGTGATCTTTTGTAATGTAAATTGCATTGCATTAACTTAAAGAGACTTTCTAGCTAAAGGAGTCATCTAAATTGACCCAGATTTTTAAACTGTAATTATTTATTCAGCAATTACCTAGGAATGGATTTATTGTAATAAATTGGAGTTCACTGTGATAAATTGTCTTTTCATTTCTATACTTTAAGTGTTGTGGCTCTACTGTCAGCTGTCTTGAATGTCTTTATGTCTCTACTGTCCCCAGGCCTGTGTATCTGTTCCGGCTCTCCCACACTGGCCCTTTCATCCTTCCCTGGCAACCCTCTTAGACCCGGCTGCTGTTGTGACCTGGGGCTTTTTACAGCTTCCTTCCTCCAGGTTCTCCTGATGGCTGTCTGAGCCTTGGGTCACTCTATCACATCCATGCACCCCTTGAGTTATCTTACTGAACTGCGGACCTGGGTAGACCTCTCTTCTCCTCAAAGACTTCCAGTGGCTGCCTGTCAATTACCGAATAACACTCAGTAGTCCCTTCTTACTCAGAGCTGAGATCTCAGTGAGCCTGCCCAAGCCTAGTTTGTACATCCATATGTTCTGCAAGGAACTCCTTGCACTTCCCTGGACAGATAGGTGGCCATCTAGACTCCCTGTCTTTTTTTTTCTTTTTTGTGGTCTGAGGGATTGTACCCGGGGCTACAGTACCATTGTGCTATACCCTCAACCCTGATTTAATTTTTTATTTTGAGACATAGGCTCAGTAAGTTTCCCAGGCTGGCTCAACCTTGCAGTCCTTCAGCCTTAGCCTTCCAAATCGCAGGATTAGAGGCAGGTACCACCACACCTGGCTCCTAGACTCCCTGTTCTTATGTTAGGGTTTCACACAGGTGCTTCCTTCTCCCATTCTGCCATCCAGATAGAGTCTTACCTCTTCCTTCAGCCCACTCCCAAGAGCCATATCCAGAAAGGTTTTCTTCCCCTTTTCTCCCATCATACTCTCAATTAGCAAACTAGCATAGTTTATCTTATATTATAATGTCTTGCCTCTGTTTATCTACTAGGCTGGGTTGTGAGTTAAGTCAGTGTTATCGTTTGTGTCTAGATGTTTCCCAAAGCCTCCTGCAGTCATAGGTGGGGCTTTTCAGAGGTGGCTGGATCTAAAATGTGTGATGCTAGAATTGATTCATGGTGCAATACTAGGTAGGATCAAGGGCACTAGGATTAAGGGTGTGTGTACTACCCACCCTAAGTAGTCTGGATAAGATATAAGGTATAAAAAGAGCTTGGTCATCCCTTTCTGCTTTGCTACCTTCTGCCTGCCATGAGCTGTTTCTCCTCTGTGATGCCTGTCTGTGGTGCCACTGCAGCTGTTTATGGAGTGAAATCTCTACAAACTGAGCTAATAAACATTTTCCCTTTAACTTTGGGTGCTGGGTATTTTGCCTCAGCAATGAGAGAAAAGATTGTTGGGATCAACTCTCATTTACCTTCACATCTGGAAATGTGCCCATGCTAAGCATGAAATCAATATTTACTTAGTGAGTCAGTAAACAGAATTTCTTTTAGCCATTCTGCGCTGCCACAATACCACTGATGTACCTGGATAAGAGGAGCCCTGGGCCTGGCCACTTGTAATGCTTTAGATCTAAAATCCCCCCTGAGTCTCACATTTGGAAACAGGGCCCGGTCCCAGGTGTGGGTCACTGAGGCTTGACTTGGAAGGCTGTATTCTCCTCCCTGTTCACTCTACTGTCTGCTCACCATTTGGTGAGCAGCTTTCCTTTGCCATGCTGTTTCTGTCTTGAAGCCAGCCTACCATGGACTAAACTCACTGAAATTATGAGCCAGAATACACTCCCTTTAAGTTGAGGGTGTCAGGTGTTTTGTCCCAGAGATGGAAAGGTGATTATTTCAACTCCCAAACTGGACTTCCTCCTATCCAGCCCTTCCTCAGAGATTAGTCTGCAAGGTCAGAGTTGTGGCTACTTAGAACCTATGCCCTAATTTCTGAACTTACACTATGTAATGCAGTAGCCAGTAGTTAGAAGTGACTAGTTAAATTTTAATTAATTACAATTAAATAAAGTTAAAGTTTAGTTGCTCAATAACACTAGCTACACTTAAAATTTTTAATTAGCCATATGTGGCTGCTGTTCACCTTATCAGATAGAGCAGCTACAGAACATTTCTACTTTCACAGAACTTGGAAAAATCACTACCACTGATCCTATACCTGTGCTTTTCAGGCCCTTTCAGAGCAAACTGCTCAACAGGTATGCACATCCCCATTCCCATCCCAAGATGTAGCCAAGGAAAAATGGGTGAAGTTAGATAGACCTGTGGGCTGAATTCACCTGGGAGCAGGCAACAACTTCATGCCAACAGACCCAGGGGTAGGAAGAAGAGGGTATCAGCAAGAGGCTGAGGAATCGGGGTCAGGCGCCAGCTTTCCAGAGTGACCACCTTCTGATGCAGAGTTCTAGCCTTTCCAGTACTTGTCAGTTACATCTGTTAAGATAGTATGCTAGGGGCCGAGGATATAGCTCCAGTAAACCTTATTCAGGTGGTACTTTTCTAGAAAATTTTGCACTGTTTCTCATATTTTACACATCTCCCTAATCTCACCTGAAGTGAGGGATTCCACCACCTTTTTTTCTTCCTTCTCTGTGGATGCAGAGAAGTAAAAAAAAAAAAAAAGAATAGAAAAAAGGAAGAAAGAGCTGGCATCCCGTATCTCCTCCTTCGAGGGCACAGCTCAGTGATCTAACTTCCTTCCAGCAGGCCTCACTCCTAAAGCTTCTCCAGTCTGCTAACAGTCTCCGGCTGGGAGCCAGGCTTCAACCTATGGGCTTTGGAGGGGTGTTTAGGACCTACTCTACAGTAAGTGGGAAGATAGAAATATTATATTTACAAACCTGTTGGTTTGACTTCTGACTTTTAAATATTTGGGCACATTGTATACGGACACCCTTTCATGCTCTGTTCTGAGCCTGCAGTTGTTGCGGGCGGGGGGTGGGGGCTGCTGCTCAGGGCCGTGAGAGAGTACAACAGCCGTTCTCCACTAGAGAACAAGCCGTCCTCTTATGGGCCGTCTGCACACACTTGCACTGTGTAATTGCCTCTCTTCCCAGTGGGTGGCTTCCAGTTCCCACGGGTCCACCTCCGATAGTGTAACTTGTCCGGCCTCATGTTAAAGGCTGGAGGCAAGTGATGGGAACAGGCGATGGGAGATAAGCGACAGACAGCCATGGGGTGGAAAACCCTGTCTTCACAGTGGGTCACTGAAACTTGAAAAAGAAATTTAGAACCTTCACGCTGTTTATGCTTTATAAGAATCTTGATGCTTTATAAACAAATTAAAATTTAGGAATGTAGCCCACTAGTAGAGTACACATTTTTTTGCATGTAGGAGGACCTGGGTTTGATCCCTAGTATTGGGGGGGGGGGAGAGTTTGAAATATAGAGGCTGCAAACTTTTTTTTTTAATGGGATTCTTTTTTTGTTTTGTTTTGTTTTGTTTTTGTCTTTTCTGATACTGGGAATCAAACTCACGACCTTGCGCCTGCCAGGCAGGCACTGTGCCGCTGAGCTAAACCCCCAGCCCCTGAGGCTGCAAACTTTTAAAACTTGGTGTCATCCACATATATTAAAAGATGATATTTGGAATGATATTTATTTCTTTTTGACAATATAAAAGATATTTTAAAGAAATCTATATATATATATATATATTTTTGTCTTTTTGAGACAGGGTCTTGCTATGCAGTTCAGGCTGGCCTTGAGCTCACTTTGTAGCACAGGCTGGTCTTGAATTTGCAATGATCCTCCTGCCTCTGCCTCCCAAGTGCTGGATTACAGGTGTGGGCCACCATGCCCAGCTTTTATTTGATTATTTTAAAATTTTATTTATTCATTGATTTATTTTGAATCATCGTCACTCTTTGTAGTTCAGGCTGGCCTTGAACTCACTACATAGCCTGGGCTGGCCTCAAACTTGCAATGATCCTCCTGACTCAGCCTTCTGAGTACTGGGGTTATGGGTGTACACCACCATGCCCACTGATTGTTATTTTTATGTTTGCGTAGATTCCCCCGTCTTAAAAAGTGAGATCTGAGTCACCGTCTCAGTGCTCCTGCAAGTGTTAGGACTGCTGGAGTCGGGTAGTAGCCTCATTTTCCACATGGAACAAGAGCAGAAGTAGAGCTGCCTCGGGATCCCGCTTGAGGGTGGGGCAAAGGCAGCTGTCAGGCGTCAGTTAAGGTTTGGTTATTCTTGCATGCTGCAGTCTCTGTGTGGATCCAAACTGTGGAAGAGAGCAACATCCTGATAGCTATGTCCTGATATGCTGATAGATATGCTCCAAAATGACAGATGAATAGCGGCCTGAGCAGGTATTAGAAGACAGGTCAGAGCCAAGGCAGTCAGATCTCCAGGGAAGATTGGGCTCAGGAATGCCTGGGAGTGTAGCTCAGTGATAGGGCATGTGCTTAGCGGTGAGGAGGCCCCAGGTTAATTCCCAGCAAGTAGGGCAAACGAGAAAAGTGATTTGGATGAATTTTATTTTTAAATTTTTTTTGTTGGTACCAGGAATCAAACTTGGGACCTTGTGCTTGCCAGCCAGGTGCTTACTCTGCTGAGCTATATCCCCGGCCATTTTTTGTTGTTGTTACCTAGATGAATTTTAGAGGTTTTAGTAGTTGCCTACAGTTGAGCTTTTTTTTTTTTTTTTTTTTT